CTACAGAATGTCTCCTTGTCTGGAAGTCCTGGTCAGGGCGGGAGGAGGGTATAGAAACTGTGGAACAGTGGACAGGAAAGACTCCCAAGAATTAACTCTGCATCTCAAGCCCCGTGCAGCAAAAGCATGCTTCCCAAGGTGCATGGTGACATGCATGGAGGGCTTTGTCCTCCCAGTGTCCCAGGGCAGCGGGTCTTCTGCAGTTTCCCAGGATGGAAGGAGCCAGGTCAACCCCTAGCCGACTTTCAATTCTTGGAGCTGAGCTGGTCAGTGTTGGCAAACTAGGAAGACAGCAGAGGTCAAGAACCAGGAGCATCCCAGGAGACTGCAGTTGTGGGACCAGATGGGTTATGGTGCCCTGAAAAGATCACTCTTAAAAGAGACAGCAGTTGGAAAACTGTGTTTCAACAGACTTTCACAAGGTGACACTGTGTGTTACTTGAGTGCCTGCATACATGCGTGTGTGTGTGTGTGTGTGTTAGTTGACTTTGGTTTTTTAGAATGCTGGTGGGAAGACAGCCCTAGGAGGCATGTCCAGCTCTCTACAGACAATAGGAGACTTAGCGATTTAGCATCGCTGAGGAGCTTGTGAGAGAAGCCAAAAGTATTGTCCTACCTACTGAGCCAGAATTGGGACTGAACCCTGAAAATTGTGTTTAAATAAGTCTTGCAGGTGAATATGAGACCCTATAAAATTTGGGAATCACTGACCTAGATTAAATCGTCACTAGGGAGCAATGGTGGAAGCTCCATTCATCTTTCAGGCATTGTCTTTCCCTCTTTTTCTCCTTCCCACCCTTTTCTTTCTTCCTTCCCCAGGGAAAACACACATCTAAATATCTGGCCTGGGACAACTCGCTCAGCCAGTCACTGTTTTATTCAGTCGGTCACCCTCTGGCTCTACACGGACAACTTCAGGGTCCTTGGACACCTGTTGAGGGTAACAGTAGGATTGTTAACCTAATACTAGATTTCACTTGACTTCAGAAAAAAAAAAGTTTCTTTTAGGGACCAAGTACATAGAACATCTCACTTTATTTTATAGTCCCTGGTCTTCGGATGCTCACCCACTCTCTTTATCCACGCGAATGTTGACCTTTTCTTACTGTCACTACCTTGGAGTGATTCTAAATGTCTGTCGTGCAGCCTTCCACACTCATCTGCCCTTGCCCTCTCAGTGTTAGGTCACAGGGTACCAGGTAGGATGCAGTGTGGGCAAGGAATAGGGGCTGCTGTGTTCCAGGGTCACCCCGAGGCTCTCCGGATGCTTGAAGGACCCTGGAACTCTACACATTCTGCTTATCCGCTCTGTCTGTACTGGTTCCAGCCCACTCCCGATTCTCCGTCTGTGGCCCCACACTGCCTACCTACCAGTCCACAGGTATCGACATAGGGGTTTTCATTCCAGACCTGCTAATTTGTCTCCTTCTCTAAGGACTGCAGAATGACTTCCTTGTGAAGTGACTAAAACCCTGACTGTAAGCAACACTTTCTAATCTTATGCCAACTGAACACTTTCCATGAGAGTTCTCTTTTCTCTTATGCTCTAGAACCCTGACTCCTGTGTCTGTTCTCATCGAGCAAAGGGAACCCCTCCACTGGACCCTCTGTTTCCCTTAGAGGTTTGGGGGTCAGAGGACTATTAGCAGTGAGAGTAATAGAAAACCTCACAGACAGTAGCCCTGCCAATCCAGTTTAATTAAAGGTTTTGTCATCCTCAATTTTCAGACCTTACAAAAGCTACTTTTTAATGAGTTAATACAGGAAAGCCACTGAAAACGTAGAAAAGTTAATTTTCCCACTGCCCAGAGTCATGAGTTGTACACACACCCGTCTCCAGTCTGACAAATAGCTACCATGTTAAAATGATCTTTTCTTATGAGGATTTTCAGAATATAAAATGTGTAATGGTCGGGGGCATGGTAATCTCTTTACAACCAGGGATCCTATTTCTTAACAGGATTTTGCTTCCCAGTGTAAATAGTTTGACACAGTAACTTTCAGGGGAGCCAGTACTTAGGAAATGCCAAGGCCAATATTTGAATTCAGACACAAGTTTTAACAAAGGAAAATGTATATCCTTGCCGCTGTTTGCTGTGAATATTTCCCTAGAGGATTATACGCTATTCTTGAACTCAATCCAAGTTGCCAAACTCCAAAAAAACGAATGTGGTGCCAGCGTATAAGGCCCGTACACTTCCCTTCCTACAATATTCCTTAGTGCCTATGTGTACTGTCTACTGGGCAACCGTGCCATGGTTTGAAGCCTTGAACTTTTATCCGGACTTGAGGTAGGGACAAGGAAAGTAGAATTTTTAAAATTGGTTCTTAAAAAAAAAAGAGCTTACTGTTTCTATTGATCAGTAGTCTTTAAAACACATAGCGAACTCTCCTGCCATTTTAGGGCATTCTGTGAGTCAAGGGGGAAAGGTCAATGTCTAAGCCAGCTCGTTTTTTTTTTTTTTTTGAAAACTGAAGGCCAGCCAGCAGGGTGGAGCACACCTTGAATCCCAGTGGGAGGCAGAGGCAGGTGGATCCCTGTGAGTTTGAGGACAGCCAGGTCTACAGAGTGAGTGCCACAGAGAAACCCTGTCTCATGAGGGCCAGCACAGGAAAGCCTTCGACTTCCTACCCAGAAGACATGTTACAGTGATGTTATTTCACATCAGAATGGCTCCCGGGATGGTCACCATGCATAACTCAAGCCTCTCCTCATTCTGACCCTGTAAGGAGTCCCAGAGAGAAAAGGATTGCTGCTCCCCTATCAGTAGGCCAGCTAGATTGGCCGAGTTCTTGTGGACCAGGATAAATCCAGAGTCAAACTCAAAGAGTTCAAATCTTATATAAAGTCAATAAGCTTTGTTAATTTGCCTCTGCGCCCCAAACATAGATAATGTCATAAATCAGGGGACACACCCCGAGAGGCCCACTCCTTTCTTATCCTATGCATGCCTGCTCACACTGCATGTGTTAACCACACACTCCAGTTTACAGTCACCTAACCCTCTCCTGTGTCCTTTGTCCCCACACACACCCAGGCCTCTGCTTAGCAAGCGGACTTGTCTCCAGGAACCAGACTGGGTGGGTGCTATGATGTCAGGGTCTCGGGCTGCAGCCTTTCTAATATGCATTAGGCCACAGTCACCTTTTCCTTAGCCTGGAAAAGCACACATAGAGCGTGGTGCTGCCCAGGCCATGAGGCACACTGGGCCCACCCAGACCCACCCAGACCCTGGAGAGTGTGAAGGAGAACACGATTGTGTCATGCGGGTGTGTTCAGTTGTCCTGTTCCCCTCTGCCTCATCCTTAACCACATTATCTTGACAGGACGTATGACCTAGGAGTAACCTGGTTTGCATTAGCAGCAATGGTTTCTAAAATGCTTGTATATCAAGGAAGCAAGGTCATGGGTATATTTTAACCGTGATTATTATTATTATCATCATTAGAGGCATAGTCTCACCATGTAACTCTGACTATTGATGTGGGAGGTCCTTCTGTATACATGCTGCTTTATTGGCTAATGAATAAAGCTGTTTCGGCCAATGGCTTAGCAGAGTAAAGCCAGGAGGGAAATCTGATATTTAGATATTTAGAGAGATATTTAGAGAGAGAGTAGCCGGAGTCAAGGAGACACCATCTACCTGCTGAAGGAGAAAGACGCTTTGGAACCTTTCCAGTAAGCCACAGCGTTGTGGCGATACATAGATTGTTAGAAATGGGTTAATTTAAGATGTAAGAGCTAGCCAATAAGAAACCTAAGCTAATAGGCCAAGCAGTGTTGTGATTAATATAATTTCTGTGTGATTATTTGGGTCTGGGCAGACGGGAAACAAACGAGCAGTCTCCATTTACAGACTGTCCTAGAACTCACTTTGTAGACCAGGCTGGTCTTGAACTCACAGACATCTGCCTGCCTCCTGAGTGCTGGGATTAAAGGTGTGCCCCACGTGTTAATTAACTTAAAATGTATGCCTTGTGGATTCAGTGTGTTCAGTCCTGGTTAGTGGGGTTCAGCAGTGAAGAAAGAGCTGGGGAGACAGACTCATTCATTTGTATCTATGGTACCATGTAAATCACAAAATCTCAGACCCAAGGTTCCTGGTTGATAACTCTTATTATGTTGAATAAATATTGCCCCTATTTGATGACTCAGTTAAACCTTCTACTCCAACATGGCTACCTGCTGGCCAGGTGCCAAAGAGGAAGACAGGAGGAAGGCAAGCTTGCTCTTTGATGAGACACTACAGAAAACAGAACCTAGTCACTAGGCACATCTGGTGGCAAGGGAGATTTCCAAATGAAATCTTGACTCTGGGTCTCCAGGTACAATACAGGCGTCTCCCACGTAAGAAGAAAATGGGTGCTGGGGGCAGCTAGGAGTCTCAGCTCTAGCATGTCTGCACTGCTGCCTTCTTCCTTCCGTGGGCTACCGTCTAACATCATGACCTGGTACCGCAATCACTGCCGGGTGTTTGGGACTTGTCTGGGCTCCTGTTCGTTCTGCCTTTGCTGCTCCAGTGGGAGGTGAGAGTCTCTATCTGAGGGATTCTGAAGACTTGGAGCTGGCTGCCATCACTTGTGCTTCCTTTCTCATCTGCTCCAGTTAGAGATGTCAGCAACCAGCCTGGAAAGATCCTTAAGGCCTCGTGGGCACCTCAGGGCACCGCGTCGTGCGGGCAGTTCTTCCTTGGGAGATGGGTTGAGAGAAGAGATAGTACACAGTACAGAGGCGGTCCTAGATTCTTCCTGGCCTTGCTACTTGAAGCAGACTGGGGTGGGGGGGCGGGTGAAGTGTGTGTGTGTGTGTGGGGGGGAAGCTGCAAAAGCCGGAACACTCTTTTTACAGCCTCTGTTGGCACACACTGAAGGGGGAAAAGTACAGCTCAGGTTCCACAGAGGGGCAGGGTCAAATCTGCAGGCGGACCTCACACACAGCCACACAGCGAGGAAGTCCCTGCTCAGCCAGAGCCCAAGGACACTCTCAAAAGATAAGTACAGAGAAACTTAATTACCATTTAAAGTTGTTCCGAAGGGAGCTCTGCCTGTGGTTTAGCTCTGCCTCTGAGCCTTACATGTGAGTAATCACCGGCTGCCGTTTCTCCTCCCAAAGTTAGGGTGGACAGTGGAGGCAGAAGGCCCCTAGCTCCCAGTCCCATCTGCAGTCACCCTTCAGGTTGCTACCTGGCTTGGGGCAAGTTTGAGTATTGGATCACATGTAAGGGTGTTAGTGCCAGTGGGTAGGAGTGGGAGTTTTCCCCTCTTCGGGAACATCTGGAGTGTCATTGGGGACAAACTGATATACATTTACACAAGCCCCAGGGGATTCCCGTGCCTGAGAGAACTGGCTAGATAGTTTCTTTTACACATTTATTTCCTTAAAGGAGGTATTTTATATTCTACCCTGTAATTTAATTCTTTTGGTTCCCACTCTGCTAAGGAGGAAAAGAACATACAGCCCAAACAAATTTTAAAACCCAGGTTCTCCCCCCGCCCAACTAGCAAATGTGCGCAGTTTGTGCTGACTTACACACATCTGTAAGCTATGACTTGTTTATACCAACCGTACGATATTTTAAAAATAAAAGTATAATGTTCAGTCTGTGTACAATCACATTTTCTTTTTTTTTTTTTTTTTTGGATTTTTCGAGACAGGGTTTCTCCGTAGCTTTTGGTTCCTGTCCTGGAACTAGCTCTTGTAGTCCAGGCTGGCCTCGAACTCACAGAGATCCGCCTGTCTCTGCCTCCCGAGTGCTGGGATTAAAGGCGTGCGCCACCACCGCCCGGCTCACATTTTCTTTTTATCAATCCCTTCACATACAAACTCATTTCCCCCTTTCAGGGTGTAATTACATGTCTAAATAGTAATGTATACCGTTGATGTGTAGGAAGGACATGTATGTTTTGTAGCAAACATATACAAGTATCTACAACACACACTTTCCAATAGCTTGCAAAGGTAGAAAAGCCCACCTAAGTTGGTTTGGTCCTTTTTTCCATGTTGGGCTTTAAGAATTTTGGACCAAGGAATGAGAAATTATTTTGGTGACAGTGTCATAGAGTCCTCTCCTCTTACACATTTGGCTTCAGAGGTAGGAAGGGGTTGAGGGTAGGTGGGATGAGTTTCCTCATGCTGGACCTGATTGGGACTTAACCTCTGAGATGAGGGCCCTCTTTGCTATGGCTTCACAACCACAGTGAAGCTGACATTTGGCTCCAGGAGAGATGCTGACTTGATCCGTCAAGTCTTGTCTGCTCCCAAGAACTCCCTTGGCTATCTTCTGTGTAGCTCGGAGAGAAGGGCTAACTTAGGAAGGGCTGGGTAGAACTGTCACTGATCCTGCTGACAGGGAATATTCCCTTTTAAGGAGGTAAATCCCTAGGGGATTTGGCTATCGATTGGATTTGGGAATTTGGGAAGAGCCATTGTCTACTGACAGGTGTTTCCTCAAGGAGCTTCTAAAACAGTTGCCTTGCAAAAATTAAGAACCTATAATGAGTTCCTATTGCTTATCTGTTTCTATCCAAATGTTTCAAAATTTTGATATCAATCAGTTTGTTAAACTGAGGAGTACTATTGCCCTGTTCATATACTAGACTTTCTCAAGAGCTGGAGTTGGGATTCCTGCCATTTAAAGTCCTCTCCATGTAGCTGGGTGTTAGAGAACCATTGATCCAAAACACTGCTTAGGAATAGATAAAGAGAAGTAACTATTTGAAAACAGAAAGTCTTGTTCCCCATGGCCTTCCTTTTTCCTCAGATCCCAAACCACAAACCTGTTTTCTCTTGCCCCCTTTTCGTTGGCTTTCACTTGCTTGTATTTGAGAAGATAAACTCTGCATGATTCTCAAATTAAGTCTCCTATTCCCCAGGGTTAATTACTGTCCCTGGCAGGATGGAAGTGCCCCAGAAGCCTGTTCAGTCAATTGGAGAATCCCGCCCTGGGATTACTTGGCTTTGGTTATTATCTGACATGCGGTCCCTCACTGTGACTGATTTAACTGATCTGATTTTGCTAACTGCAAGTCTCCACCTACTCATCATTCCGTTAAAGGGTTTCTTGGAACTGTCCTTGGTCGAAGGGAACAACATTCCTAGAGAGAGGGACCACTCAGCCATCAAAGTCAAAGCAACAAATGAGCTCCGTGCTTTAGGGAAAAAAGGAAGCACATGTTGTCCCTTGCAGATTTTGAACTTGACCTAACAGATCCAGGAAATGAGATGGCTTCTTGGAACTGTCCTTGGTCGAAGGGAACAACATTCCTAGAGAGAGGGACCACTCAGCCATCAAAGTCAAAGCAACAAATGAGCTCCGTGCTTTAGGGAAAAAAGGAAGCACATGTTGTCCCTTGCAGATTTTGAACTTGACCTAACAGATCCAGGAAATGAGATGGCTCTGCATTCAGGGGGAAGCCTAGCTCAGTCTGGTTGTTTCTGCTCATTAGGGCCCTTCCACAGGCAGGGCCAGTGGAAGTTCAGGGTCAGCTGAACTTTAATACCTGTGTTCACATAGGCTGTTCTGTAATGTCAGCCTTTTCCCCCTGGCTGTTCAGGTACCTCATTCAGGCAGTAGTGTCCCTCTTGAGTACCTAGCTTTACCACTGACTACAGCAGAGGCCTGGACATCATTACCTCAAATAATCTTCTTCCCCTCTTTTTTGCTTTTAAGCACATGCAGAATGATGGGGCTGGGGCAGGCAGGATAGGGGTGAGGGTGGGGGTGTCGCTCCTCTGAGAACAATGTCTGCTTGTCCAGTGTTGTGCCGCTTGCATAAAGCAAACTTTATGAGCTGTAAGCCTGCATTTTTGTTTTCTGACTTATTGTTTTTTATCCTACAATTGTTCTATTAATTTGATAGTATATACTTCCAGCCAAGCTTTTGTTCCAAGTTCTGCCAGATTAAGAGAAATTTCCAGGCGAAATCCTGCCCAGAGGCCTTCCTAAACAATCAAAGTTTCCTCAATTCATTCCCTAGCTACTTGTCCATCCACAGAAAGTCTTCTGAGAGCTGAGCTGGGTCAAGAGTTAGACCCTGTCTCAGCTTCTTTCGAGGATACTTCATTTCCCGCTGTCAAGGGACATCCCCTAGGCAATTCTTGGACAAGTTCAACAGCAGAAACATGGGTCAGACAGAAGCAATGGGTTAGGAGCTGGATCTGGGTGTTGAGCAATGGAACGTGCTGGGTTATCTTGCCTTCTTGGGTTAAGAGTTTTCCTTTAGGCTCCACGACGGTGGGTTCAACCTTGAATCCCTCTGCCCCCCCCCAGTAGCCTGTCTGTCTAATTCTCTGAGGATTTTCATGAGGATAGAGGTCACTGTCTGTGACAATTAAGCTTTAAAGTTAATTCCCTAGATAAATAGAGCAAATTGATACCACTTTGACCGTAATTTTTCTTCCTTCAAATGTTAGGACAGCAGGGAATCAGTTGCCAGACTCCCGGTTCCTGGAAATGCAAGGAATACATTTTATTTTCTACCTTTCTAAATGAAGCAATTTAGGGCTGTGAGAAACAACAAAACACATGTAAACATCTTAATTCTACAGTGTGCTTGCATTTCTGAGAGCACAGAGACCCATTGTTTCCTTTCGCGCTCTCTTTTTAAAGTTGAACAAGTAGTGGTTTCTGTTTAAAGTGGAATGATAGGAGGGCTGTAATCTTCTTAATTCAGACCTTGCAGCAGAAAAGCTGGGTTCACTTGCGAGCTGTGATTATTCAGTAACACGCTCTGCATTGGAACAGGGAAAGTAAATAACTGGATGCATACTTTATAATTACATGCAGGGGAAAATTCAAAGCTACAGAGCCTGGAGTGGAACTGGTGGGCCTGAGGCAGCAGCTGTACTTTCTGGCTTCTCCCACACAGGCGGAGGCATGGGAGAGAACAGGAGCCCGGAGGTCCCAGCAGGACCCCAGGTGCTAGGCCTCAGCTAGCAGGAGCAGAGTGAGGATTTACAGAGCAGAATGTGAGCCCTGGCAGGGACCCCCGGGACCTACGACAACTTCCTACATAGTGTTCAGGACGCATCAAAGTTTTAATAATTTCTCCGCAGTGCTGGTGGTGGGGTTGCTTCTTTTGTGAAAGAACTTTGAGAAAGGCCGTGCACTTGATCCTGCATCGGAGAAACAAAGCACATCCCAGCGTGTCTGAGCCCCAGGAACCACCTGCTTGTTGTGGTCTCCCCCATCTTCAGCCTTGATTTGTAGCAGTCCTGGCCTTGCTAACCACGCACTGGCAGCTTTTCCAACTAGTTCATTTTGTGAGGGAAAAAAACTGTGACAACTAATTCAATTTTTTGTTCCATTTTGTTTTCTGGGTATGCTGCGTGTGTGGTTTATGTACTTGTCGGCGGAGCTGTGCGTGTACGTGCTGACGTCATGAGGGATGTCTCTCGCACCCCGCTGCACTGCCCTTAGGCAGGCTGGCTGGTCAGTGAGCTCCAGGGACCCTGCTGTCTCTGGCCCCTCCTTCCAGTGGTTACAGGCCTAAACCTGGCTTTTTACATAGATTCTGGGGATTTGAACTCAGGTCCTCATGTTTGCAAGACACTTTGGGAACTGAGCCATCTTTTCAGCCCCTCAAAATTTTGAAACAAAGTTAAAATACACTCAAAAAGTATGGGTTATTTATCCCGTCAGTGCTGACAAAAAAAGCCGGCAAACTTTAATAACATTTTATTTATAATGTTATTGTTTTACTAGCAGTTGGCTCTTGGTCATTTGTCTTAATTTCTTAAGTTTTGACCTCTTTTTTTCATTCTAAGATCTTGACTTCCTGGATGCAAGAGCACCTTCTGCCTCAGCCTTTGTAGTAGCTGCTGGCATTGTAGACTTGAACCACCACACCTCTTTTGAGTTAGTTTCCTCTGATTCCCACCACCCGTACTAGTGTGGGCCTACTGACTAGAGAGCCATCTCCCATAGAACCAGCAGGTTAACCCTTCCATGCTCTCTCCACAGAATCTGTCAGTAAGTTTAGGAAATGCCTTGTGGGCCACAAAGTTGCTTTGGGGGGAAGTAATTTCAGGTAGAGTTGGTCTTCCTCTCAGGAGAATCAGCAATTCATTATAACTTTTTAAATTAGAAAAGTAATAAGAGCATTTTAGAAGTTGTGGGGGGGGGGGCGGGAAACGAAGAAACTATTGGGGTGGTGTTTGCGTGGACCATTTCAGGAGCCTGCCTTATGTTAACTCCACAGCTCAGGAACCTAGAAAGAACAGTCTACACTGGCCAACAGTGGGTGAGCCGTGGCTATTCCTCCTTAGAGGAGGTATGTAGATGTGTTACCAAACACACCACTATGATAATCTTGTTTATCACAGTTCCAAAAGTGTGTCTGTTTCGTGTTTAACCTGCATCCTATGGATTGTCTGCAGAGTGCTATAAATCCCAGGTATTTATAAGGCAGATCAAACATTTTCTCCTGCTAAGGCAATAACCTTGTTGCCTCCAACTTCAGGCTTCTTCCCAGGGGCCAGAGGATTGTGTCTGTGGACAGTCGGTTCATTTGTTGGTGGTCGCTGATACAAGCTGTGGTCATTAAAGGCTACTCGGAAGCCACAGTAATATCCACAAGATGCTCACCTGAGGCCAACGAGATGGCTCAGCAGGCAGAGGCTTTGCATCAAGCTCGACTACTTGAACTGGACCCCCAGGACTCCCAAGATAGCAAAAACCAGCTTCTACACCTACACGTTGTCCTTTTATCTCACGCATTCTATGGCACACAGATGTCCCCTCAACATACAACACATCTACACGCACACCTCCCCAGAATAAGAGATAAAAATAATTTTTAAAAAATGTTAACTTGGGGGCTGGAAAGATGGCTCAGAGGTTAAGAGCATTCCCTGCTCTTCCAAAGGTCCTGAGTTCAATTCCCAGCAACCACATGGTGGCTCACAACCATCTGTAATGGGGTCTGGTGCCCTCTTCTGGCCTGCAGGCATACACACAGACAGAAATATTGTATACATAATGAATAAATAAATATTTAAAAAAATGTTAACTTGGTCTTAAACCACATCCTGATTCACCTCTTTGCTCTCCTTTCCCCTGATCGCCCCCCAACACCCCTAAACAAGTCTTGCTAGCTATGATTTCTTATGTGTTAGGTGACAAAACCCAACTCTCTGGTTAAAGAGAGTTGACTGGTCTATGTCCCTGTATGTCCATGATTGAATGGGTTTAGACACACCTACATGCAGCAACTCAAATCATATTTTGATTTCTCTTTCCTTTCTTTGTTAGCTATTGGTCTCTGTTCCGCTCATCCGGTGTCCTGGGACAATGGCCGTTCATATCTCCAGTTTAGGTTATTCTCATAGTCTCAGGGTGGGCGCCTGTCTTTCCTTGCAGACGAGTAGGACAAACTGCTTCTGCACCCTTCCTCGGCCATCTAGTCATATAACCTCAGACAAATCACCGAACGTGTATTCCAGTATAGGGTTGCCATATCCAATTACATGGGCATTAGTTGAAAGAATACATTTTAAGCATTTAGAAAGGTTATCTGTAAATAATACATCCTAGTGTTGGCGTAGGGCGGAGTGTGCCTATCTGGCTAAACCCAAGTTCCATTCTCAGTCCTGGGCATGAGGAGGGCAAGACCCAAATCACCTGGGCAACAGACGCATCACTCTCAAAGGAAGGAGTACTGGGAAAACAAAATGCCCACGCCCACGGTTCTGGCTCGCCCTTCTCTTGTTGTAGTAAAGCAGCATGACCCAAACCAACGTGAAGAAGAAAAGGTTCATGTCTTCTTCTACTTCCAGGTCACAGTCTATCGTGGAGGGAAGTCAGACTTGGACTTCAGACAGAAGCCTGAGGCAGGAACTGAAGCTGAAACGGTGGGAAAATGCTGCTTGCTGGCTTGCCAGAGGAGCAAAGGTAAGCAGGCAAAAAGCAATGTTTTCTTCTTAGGTGCCTTTTTATCTGGGGCACAACCAGAAAGTGCCACCTGAATTTAGCTGTCTTCCAGATTCCAATAATCTGACCAGAAAATTCCCTTACAGAGATCTCAGTGGCTTGCATCTTAGTGATGCCAGATCAAGCCAATGGATAACACAGATTAGACATCATGTCCACTATAGGGCAACATCTGGTTAACTTGTGAGGGTGACAGAAACAGATGGGCCTTAGCCCTGGCCTCTGTATGACCTGGGATGAAACTGTCAGCATTTTTGTTACATTTAAAGTTTGAGCCTTGGGCCAAATGTAACCTGTAGTGTCAAGTCCTTCTGAATGGCATAAGATCAGAACAGGTGTGTCTCTACCAGCAGAAGACCATCCCTGGCAGAGTGTGGTGCAGTCCTCAGACCTTCCGCCGCCGCTACTCTTAGTCCCCCACATAACCTGGCTCCTGCTGTGCATGGCCTTGGGATTATATAGGATTTTTAAATACAGGATATGGAGGGTTGACTTGACCTGGTTACTAGCGGCATAGCTTCGTGAGCAGTAACTCATGCTGGCTGGGACTTCGTGATGACGCAGGAGCTTCTGAGTCACCCACCATGCTGGTTGGAGTTCTCGGTTTGACGCAAGTTGAGAAAAAGCCTCCAATGGATTGGCCTGTACGCAAGTCTGGGTGGCATTTTCTTGGTCAGTGTTGATGTGGTAGGACTCAGCTCACTGTGGGCAGTGCCACCCCTGGGCAGGTGGCCCTGGGTTGTATAAAACCACCAGGCTGAGCAAACCATGAAGGATGAAAGCAGCAAGCAGTGTCCTTCCAAGGTCTCTGCTTCAGTTCCTGCCTTGGCTTCCCTCCGTGACATGTGACTGGGATGTGTAAGCCAGATAAATCCCCAGGGTGCTTTGATCATGGCATTTACCACAGCCACGGAGAGCAAACCAAGGTGCCCAGGATCCTGTAAGGAACCCCTCACCCATGCGTCTAGAAGTAAGCTTAGCATGCTGCATTACCAAGCTGAACTTGAATGAAATAATTTCTTTGGTCTGATTTGTCCTGCCCGAGATTAAAAGATGTTTCTTCACACGAGCCTTAAAGTGGCAGCATCACCCTCGTCCTGATGCTTTCGGGTTGGTCTGTCTTACACATCTTGGTCCCACTTCTAAACTGGCTTTTGTGTCTTGCTTTGCCAGTTAGTTTTTTATCAGCTTGACACAAACTGGAGTTGGTTGAGAGAAGGGACTCTCACCTAAAGATGATTACCTCTACCACATTGGTCTGTGGGAATGTCCAAGGGGCGTTTTCTTGATTGCTGATTGATTGGAAGTGGGGGGGCACTGTCCACTGTGGATGGTAAAATCTCTGGAAGCCAAGGAATACAAGCAGGTTAAACAAGTGTTCCTCCATGGCCTCTGCTTCAGTTTTTGCCTCCAGATCACTGCTGAGAGTTCCTGCTTTGGCTTTCCTGGCTGACTTGTAAGCCAAATAAATTCTTTACCCATGTTGTCCTTGGTCAGTGTTTTATCAAAGAAACAGAAAGCAAACTAAAACATCAAGACATCAGCCTACAACTCCTAGCTCTGAAGATCCCTGTGATACCACAGACTTCACGTTGTGTGGCTGCGGCTCTTACATAGCCTGGTCTGGATTCTACTCCTATGACTCCCAAGATTCTGACTGACACACCTGGCGTCTCACCTCCCACCCTACCTCCACCCTGAGACCAGGAACCTTCCAGGGCCTTGCCTTGCCTCCTGGTTAGGAGCAGTTGATGGCAACATACACCCAAGCTTACTGTGTCCAAAGGCACGGGATCTTAGCTGTCCTGGGGTCATTTACCTCATAATGTTGTCCTCCTCTGAGGGAGGGATGAACGTCTGCTGGCCGTTTAAACAGGACCAGGTGGTATTTTATTTCCCTACAGTCTGTTCACCACAGTGCATGTGTCTTGGTCTCTGCTGGTCATTTTTTCATGCACCTTATGGGGAAAGCTACATTTACTTTCTCTTGAAGTGAGCGCTGGTTTCAGTGTCAGCCCAGAGCAACATAGGGGATGATAAATTTGAGTCTCTCTAAATGGCATCTTGAACGGAGCAGAAAGTTCCAGATTCCATATATATGCATTAAGAGATAACTGGTTTTCTAGCTGGCTAATAAATTACATTTCCCTGTCAGCAAGTGGGTTTTTATTTTACCATAAACGATTTCCCAAATACAAGAACTTCTAAAGAGCAGATAAAAGCAGCTGTAAATGTGATCTCAGAATAAATACCAAGGAAGGCAACACAAGCTGCCTGCAGAGTTCCAGCTGCTCGCTCTCTCCCCGGAGCTTATCAGTGTTCTATGGCCAGACACGCAGTGAAGCTGGAAGGCTCCTTTCCAACAGGGTGCACATTTCTGCGTGATTCTTAAAATTGCGCAGGCACTCTGGTTCCTATCAAAATAGCGGCCACTACCACCAAGATTATTCACTTCCTTCTTCTTTGTTTTCCCTCTGGCCCCTCTTTGGCATCTGGGTCTTCCATCCTGTTGTTGAAGATGACAAGTCTTGATTAGGGGAGGCTATGACGGTGTATGTTTTAATTCGGGCAGAGCAAAGGTTAGCCCCTGTGATTTATGGAATCGGGCTACTCACTGGGGTAAGCAAGGCTCTCTTAATCCCTCCCTACCTCCAAGCCGGTCGCATTTCCATCCTAGAGTTGCAGCTGCACTCAGAAACCCAACTGCACTTTTCCAGGGATGGTAATTCCATCTTCCTGAGCTGATTCAAAGATTAAACAGAGTTCTTTAGGGAGCTTGCACTGTCAGCAGGCAGAAGGGGGACTTGAGAAGTTGTCTTTGGGCCAAGAACAATACAAACCTCAGTTGGAAAGAAGGGCTGAAAAAAAATCCTACAATTAGACTCATTTGAATGAGATTGTATTATTTTTTAAAAACATAATTGTTCTTTCTCTCTTTGTGTGTTTCTCTGTCTCTTTCTCTCGTGTGTGTGGTGTGTGTGTTGTATGTGGTGTGTGTGTACGTGTGTGCTCAGGTCACCAGGCTTCTGAGGCAAGTACCTTTACTGACTGAATGTCTCACTGGCCCTGAATTTGTGTTCTTGACCCTGAAGGCTAAGGGGCTGCTTCTCTACTGTCGGCAGTATTGTTTGTCTCAGTATTACCTCACAACCTAAGCCATCCGTTAAATCAGCAGTGCATTCAGCATAGACACCATTTCCTCCTCAGTTCTTACGTCATAGTTTTCTTGCTTTGGCTTTGAGATAGGGTTTCAATATCTTGTTAAGATGGCCTCAAATTTGCACTCCTTTTGCCTCAGTGAACCGAGTGCCAGGATCACAGATGTGTGCCACTATGTTTAGTTCCACAGAAATTCTCATTCACATCCCGGTAACCATATTTTCCTGACACTGGAGGTCTGGATGCTGTCGTCTGGATAACTTTAAATCTGAAGCTATGTCCTCATTTAAGTTGGGTATGTAACTCAGTGGATCCGTTCTTGCCTAGTATGTATGAAGACCTGGGTTCAATCCCCAGGATGTAGGTGTGGTGGTATATGACTGCAATCCCAGCACTCAGGGGATAAAGACAGGTGGATTCATTTAAGGTCATCCTCAGCTGTACAGTTTGAGGTCAACCTGGAATAAAAACAAAACAATGCCAAAATTGTCATAAGGCTGGAAGAGAAATTAGGATTATTGAACCAAAGCAAGGTTCAAAAGCTGCTTTAGGAGTTGTCAGGAGAGTCTTATGAAGCTGTTGCATAGAGAAGGAAGGCCATAGAGCCTGGTGGGGACTTTGTTGAGCAGATGGGTATCAGAACACTGGCTCAATCCAGTCAATCAAACCCCTTCAAGGCTTCCCTGGAGAAAGCCTGGACCACAGCATGACATTCCCTTTGCAGAACCCTTTCCAGGTGAAACCACATTTGAATAACTATAGTAAATAGTTTCTCACCTGCTCTTCTCCTTTGTCTCTCATCACAGTAAAAACCAGGAGATTTTGTCCTCTTCCTTCTGATTGGTGCTGTGCTATGTCACTCACTGACTACATCCTGGGATGTTTTCTGTGCAGGCTGCCCCGTGAACGCTGCCCCACAGTACCGGAAAGAGCACATTCCTTGAACTCACAGCCTCCTAGCACTCTTTCTGCGGGCCCACCTTCTAATCTTTACCCTCCTACTCTCCAGCTCTTTGACCTTGGCCCAGTAAATTTAACTCTTTGTTCCTTAGTTCTGGCTTTTTATGAAGATCCTTGCCTGTGTGGTGCAGCTTAATGTCAAACCCTACCTCCGTGTCCCAACTTCAGTCGACAGTGACTCATTCCTTGGCCTATGATCTTTCTCATTTTTTTCAAGTTGTTGTTTTCCTTCATTTTCTTTTAAACTTAAAGACTGCTAGAAATAGATCCATTAGTCCTTAATAGGTTGATGCAAGATGAAAGCACCGGCTTCACAAGTCATCTGGACCTTTAAATGAGGGAGAAATATGCATAAAAAAGAAGAAAGGGTCTCAGAAATAAACTCTCCTGACTCCACGCTCCACGCAGGGCTGCCTGCTAACACAGCATTGCTGCGTCTTTTTCCCATGCACATACAGCCTTTATATAAGCAGTTAGGGGAAGAAGAAACTCAGCTTAGCAGAGAACCAGAAACAGATAATGCTTGTTTATTAACAAGGGAAGCGACCAGCCTCTTTGTTCACAGACAGACAAGTCCTTTCTGCGGCCTAAACTTTGATCTGAAGAACAAGATGGGGAGGCCACCAAGGGAAGCAGAATGGCCACAAAGTCTGCAGAGACAAAACAGGATTCTTGTCTTCAGGTGTCCACCCCTGCTCCGTGTGTGTGTGTGTGTGTGTGTGTATTCATGTGTATGGGGGTGATGTACCCATGTGTACACAAGTGAAGGTCAGAGGTCAGATAACAAAAAAAATGAGTGTTTTTATTTGTGGAGCCCCCCCCCTTTTTTTGTTGGAATAGGG